ATACAATTCGACTTATTTTTGATGGGTTGTGATTGGTCTGAGGACCTAATGGGTATAGCTCACTAGACCTAAGCAAGCCTCTCACATTTATAAACTGTACAACCATGCAAAGCATTAAACATTCATTTCATTAATCATATAAGCTATTTGATGCGCCATCACATCATTATGGAATGCTACCTTATAACAAGTGAAAACACTTGCATATATATATCATAGCATTGGAAAACAAATTTTAGAAATCATCTCTTTAAACATTAACTTGCACCTTGGTGCTCAATTAGGCCCTTGAGCCATGAAGACATAAATCAATAATATGCATAAAGCCATGAAAGGCTATAAATCCATAACATGTTCAACAACCATAATGTAAACATAAACATGGGTTAGCTTTATTAACTTTAAAATGATTAAAGTTTTGAAATGACTAAAATGATTAAAATTTCTTGTTTGAGCAATCCTTGAATACTTTTGAAGTGCTTAGTGTTTCCTTTCAATTGAAATTGATTTGATACATGAACAAGTGTGCCTTGTGTTGATAATGCTATAGTAAGTTGTTCTTGATGTAAAAGAATGCATGAGTAAATGCTTGAATTTATTGATCTTATTATTACTCATGTGCTTACATAAATAATATTATTTCTTGAGAATGAAATGTTCATGTGCTCATATTAAGTAATTATTTATTGAGAAATTGAAATGTTCAAATGCTTGGTCTAGTAACAACTCTTGAAATATGGTTTATGGTTGTGCTTAAATGATTGTTTCAAGATTGGCTCCTTGATTATGCATATGAAATTGATTATGATGAATTCTTTGATCTTCATGGAAAATATTTGTGGTTCATCTATTAGTTTGGTCAAGTTAAATGCTTACATGACATTTAATCTTGCTTGACTTTAATGATTGAAGTCTAGAACTCGACTTAAGTAATAGAATTACTTATGTTACTTAATTGCATAACTCAAGTGAAGTTTGATCATGAATTATATTGAGTATTGACATAGTTGACATATTCTTTAAATGAATACTTGAATAATGGTTGTGTCTTCCATGAGCATAAATGTTTACATGATCTAAAGATTTTGTGTGTGCCCAACTTTATCCTATAAGCTATCCTTAAATGACTTGGAGCCTTAAATGAAATATGGCCTATAGCTTGAAATAGAAATGAATGTCTAATATGCTTAGATTGAATACTTATTTCTCAATTTTGATAATCGGTATTCGTTGTTGTTTGAATGTTCAATTTGGACATATTCATGAGTAAAGTGATTTATCTTTTAGTATTTTATAACAATTGGTGTCACTCATGAATTACGATAATAACATGTTCCTTGAACTTCAATGGTTGCATGTTTCCAAGTGGGTATATGTTTATATATTCTTATGAAATTGAAATCATGCTTGCATTTCATGGAACAAACAGTATTCATGATTAATGAAGAAAGCTATATTATTCTTGTAATCATGTTTATGATTGCTTGATCATATCATTCTTTTACATGATCGCAACAAGCACAAAATGCATAAGTAATGCTTCATTAATAATGATATTTTCTTGATGTGAAAATTCTTAAATTTTAGCAACTTTATAAAATTTATGGAAATCTAAACTCAAGATTAAACTGTTAAAATCAATTATTTACCTTCAAAATCATTTGGGATGGAAAAACCAAGCTTGGAAATCACTTTAAATCTTCAAAATCCTTTGATTTGATGAAAATGGGAGTTGAGAGCATAAGGTGGCTGTGTTTTTAAGAGAAAATCTACTTTTTGTTGTTATAGGAAAAGTTTGAGGGTTTAAAATTTTTAATTGAGGGGTGAAAAGACCAAAACACCCTTTTTCAGTTTAAACATCTTCTATCTATATATTAGGCATATCTATTGATAGATTTGATTATCTATCGATAGATGTTCATCAAATTTTAAATGTTTGGGTTTCTAGGTTGATCTATCGATACATGAAGAACATATATCGATAGATACACTCCAAAATACAATTTTAAGTCCAAAAATAATCCTTTTGACCCTAAAAAGACTTCAACTCCAAAATGAATTTTTGTGTTCAATAAAATATTGATTCCTAAAGTTAAAGTGCTTTTATAAACACGTCTAGAAACATTAAATCACTAGCTTACCAACTCGGGTTACGATTCTAACCTTTATCTAAGAATGAGGTTTTACATCATGTCACATTAACATACTACATTATCATCTACTAGGAAATGTCAACATGATGCATTAGCATAATGTAACATAAAATCACAAGTAACATTTTGGCTAATAACAATTAATCACCAATTGTTATAAAGGCTTGTTTGATTCAAAGTGAAAGTATAAAAACTTGATAGAAGATAATAAAAGAATAAACATTTATTTGAATTTTTTTAACTCGTTGAACGGCTCTTTTAGGTATTATGCTTTTATCTTCTTATTTTTTCTTCCATATGATTGTGATTTTAGGTTAATTTCTTTTTACTATTTTTTTGGAAATTATGTTTATTTTTAATTTTTAATTTTTATTCTAATGAAATGGTATAAGTAAACTGGTTTTATTTTAGAGAAACGTTTGAATTTGAAAAGCTATTTGTATATATACATATATATATATATATTGTTTGTGCTATACAATATGTATGTTTTTTATATAAATTATCTTTGATAAAATAAAAGTTAATCATGCAAAGCACTGACCCATAAAAATGTGGTGATTTTTAAAACTAAATGTAAATTTAAGGATAAAAATATATTATAATTCACCCAAACTTTAAAGCATGACCCATGACATGTGCATTCTACTCATTCTTTTTTTTTGTAATTAAGAGAAGGGAGATTCGAACCTTATTCTTTAGACACTGGGATAATGCACCAACTAATGAGCCAAATGCTCGGATGCATTTTACTCATTATTTATGCTTGAAAAATTCCACATTAAATAATTAATTTATGACATACTGTTTAAAAAAACCTCAAAATTATTAAAAAAATTTAAATAAATCTTTATTTTTTATTACATTTAATCTAATCCTTATACTTTTATTATTAAATAATTACCATTAGTTAAAAAATAACTTTTCATTTTATATCCATATGATACTGACGTAACATTGACGTGGAGGGTAAAAAATGCTACATAGACATGTTATCATGTTAAATTAGCTTATCATATCAGCATCAATTATAATATATCAATATATCACATCATTACCAATTATATTATGTTAATATATCACATTAGCATCGCGCAGCATAAAATGTCAAATGGTATTTTGATTAAGTCAATTATTAATTATAAAAATTTATTTGACTTAAAATAAAAGTATAAAGATTTATTTAAATTTTCTTAAATAGTTTAGGAACTTATTTGAGTATTATGCCTTAATTTATTTTCAATTTATAAAGATTAAAAATTATATATTTTTTTAATTTTTTAATTTTTTGAAAATATTTATTTGCTTTTATAGTTATTTTTTATTTTTTCTATTAAAGTAAAAAGTAAATAATACAAATAATAACCAAACATAATCATAATTATTTTTGGCCAATAAACATAATCCTAATTAACATTAGCATCGTAGCATTTGACTTTAAAGGAGGAATCCCTTTCAGTGTTGTACCATTGAAAAGCACAAAAGTTGGGACATGCACGGGAGACGGGGAGTGCCCAACACAAACCCAAGCATAAACCCCGGATATTCGGGAGCATGCGCTGGCTTTGGGCCAAAATTTTACACTTTAAATTATTATTGTCATAATTCTTGTTTATTTTGATTACTTTATGGTAAATCAATTAGGGTTTTTATAATAAGAAAAAAAATGCAAACCCTCTCCATATTTGATAGAAAATACACTTAATTACTAAGTTAATTTTAAATGACAAAACAAATATATCATTTGTTAATTATTTCCTTTTTTATTTCTTTTTTTCCTTTTATCCAAGATTTTTTAATTACAAACTTATGAAATTTAGTTATTTGTGATATTTAATTTGTTTTAAATTTTGATTAATTTATTTTCTAATTCAATTCCATTTTAAATAATTTACACTTATCTTTAATTCAATTATATATTAAGTTTAAGACATAGTGTTCAATTATGTTTAGTTACAAAAAGTTTATTATCATTAATTTGAAAAAAAAAAGGGTTTACTGGTAAAGAAATTGATTAAAACAAAAAAAAATTGAAATGAAAAAAAAAGGACATATTTTTCAAATTAATAGAGGTAAGTTTATTGAGAAAGAAAAGTTTATTATCAATAAAATCTCATATATCTTAATTGAATTATATATAATTTTATGTATTTAATACATAATTGATTAAAATTCAATTTGATAATTATTTAAGATGATATTGAAATGAATTAAATCTTTGAAACCAAAATTATAACTAAATAAATTTTACACTATTGTCTACTCGATCTAATTGAGGGCAAGAAAGATACTAAAAATAGTAACTTAACAATCCTCTTGTCCTTTTTTGGGTTGGTGATGATTTTGACCCATCAACAGCTTTGACCAAATGAAGCATGGCTTTTGCTGGTCTTTTGACTAGGATGGACACAAATCAGCAACAATGATATTATAAATATTAATATTTTTATAATATTTATAATTTTTTATTATAAATTTAAAAAATAAAACTATATTTTAAAAATATATATTTTAATTGAATCGTTTTAATTGTGTTAATCATGTAAATAAATCATGTCATATAAACCATGCATGTTTATTAAACTTACCATTAACATAATTAAATTAATCATGTTGTGTTCATAATTATCCGTATAATTTTTAATATCTTATTTATCCACATAACTTTTAATATCTTATGTTTGCTCCTCAAAATCAAAACACAAATTGCAAAGTCCAGTTACCCATATAAACTCTTAATATCAAGATTAAGATACAAAAACACAAATTCGAATTGCAAGATATAAATCAAAAACTAACCTTGGGATGATTGAAAGAAATAAACAGTATGTTAAACCAAAGAAGGCCCCCAGAAAATAAAATATTTAGACATTACTTCTCAGATAATTTCCACTACATCCAACATATCCTAAATACAACAAGCTAGCCACAATTCTGGTTCAATGGACTACTGCTACTAGGGAAAATACTGTAGAAAGCCCTCAACTTTCCATTCTCTTTTCCTAGTTCTAACTAAGAAAATTTTGTTAGGATGATAAACACACTGATTGAATCTGTATGTCATTGAGCAGATGAATCAGCTTCAAGTAATTTAATCAACAAACTGGAAAATGGCAATCAAGGCCATCAACCTAATCCAAACCATCTGCTATCATATCAGTCAATCAATAATTATAGAAAGCATGTTTTTATCATCCCAGATGAAAATTAGTAGCAACACTGAAGTTTTAATGAAAAATAGAGGGGTCTTTCTGCAGCTAACTGTCCATTAAACCAGCCTTGTTAACCATTCCCTACAGCTATCAACAAGGGAAAAGGATGGGCAATGGATCTCTTTGCAATTTCCCATCACATAAATCTAGTTTTTTCATCTTTTCTTCACACCAAAACAACTGCTCTTTACTCATCCTTGCCATTCTAAGAACCCTGGATACAATTTTGATGTCGATGAGGGCAAACAACAAAGGAACATCCTCACGTGTTTGTGGCCACGATTTCTTCTTCCACCCTCTTCTTTTTTTACGCAATTCCTTTAGCTTCATCCCTTTCTGCAGATAGAAATGAAAACATTGTAGAACATCAACCAATCATCAGAAGTCACAATGAGCAGATCCATATGGACAGTTTTTTGAACAGTACACAGCAGGCCATCCTATCTAGTAAATAGTGGGAGATATGAGATCACCATCTTTAAGTCAATACTTAACAAAAAAGAGATCGCTATCTTTAAGTCAATACATAACAAAAAAACATGAACATCTTCAAAGAGTAGCAAGTGTGATCTAAGATTAGCCTCCAAGAGTTCAACAGTAATATAGCAGGTGACAATTGGTAAGAGTGATGTTTGTATCAAACAAGACATGATTATTGTGCCAACTTGGAATCCAAATATTATTGGTTTAAAATAAAGCTTAAATGTAATTGAAAGTTTAGTCCTTTCTTATTGGAAACAGAAGGTAGAAAATTAAGACATTCTAGTAGTCTAGCATAATTGGTTAACTTTTTTTTTATAGGTTTTCATCACCTCAAGTAATGCAGCTAATAGGCAATAACCAGCCAATCCAACAACATACTAAAATGTTCAAATAGCTTTATGATTTCAAATAAAATAGCATTTTCTGTATACTCATTAGATTATCAAAGCAAGCCAAGCAAATGAGCTATTAATAATCAAGGGGCAGGAATCCATTTGCAACTCTTATAGAGCAAAATAATCAACAGAACTAGTGAAAAGTGCCGTAATGTGGGCAATCATGCATATCAAAGATAATGCCATATAATCAAGTTGTAACCTATAAAGTTGAAATGGTTAGTATAGCATAAGGTTACCTTCATTAATAAAGATTGAACTTGTTGAAGAGGAGTAGCCATTGGGTTCTGGTTTCCAAACAAGTTAAGAACGCTACTATGTTTTTTCTTGTCCATTTTTACAAACAGCTGGAATGTCAGGATTGAGCTCTCAATAATCCTGATGATATCAGGGGCATGGACCAAATAATTTGATTCCTCTTCCACCTTTTCCTTATGATCTGAACCTGAAAAGATTCATGGAAGATATGACCTTTAAAGTAAAAGCAAATAGAACCAATCCCAGTAAGTACTTCATTGTTCAGTTAAACAGAAAAAATAAAGAAGATTTATTCACAGAACTTGAACTGAGCCTAGTTTCAGTGCGTTAACTGAAAAATAAAACCATTATTAAGCCACAAAAAAAAAAAAATTAGTAAAGAATATCCAAGTTTCCTTATTTTCCCTCCATCAATCCTCTATGATATACCTTGTATGTTTGGAATTTGAAGCAGCTTAGGCAAAATATTCCTAGCACGGGCATAAATTTCAGCTCTGAGACCTTCCTGAAAAGGTTCATTTTCAATGAACCTTTGCAATAAGACCTGGAACTGTTGGAGGTGCTGGGCACTCTGGTTGTAACAGGTGGGATTCTCCGGTTGGCGTAAAACTATCTGGCAGAGTTGAGTGTATTGGCAATGAAGTGCCTCCCAAGTTAAGCAAATTTGAGCTACATATGCTGTTTCAAGATCCTGATATGGGTTATTCATTCGCTGCTGCAGGTGCTCAGTTTCTTCATCAGGTTCTTCAATCTTCTTCAAGGAAAGGCATCGCAGGGGGGATGCAAGCTTCTTAGATGCAGATTTAGGTGATGGAGTTGAATGATTTGTGAAGCCTGTAAGACAATTGATTATTTGCCTTAAAAATTAAGATTAAATTGTAACAAGGAGACTACAAAGCCAACACTAAAGGAAAGGTGACAATGTTTCAAACAACAATACCTCTACCCACCCACCAACAACAAAAAGAAATAATGTTTAAGCCCCAACGATCCTACAGATAGTACTTAGTCCTTTAGCACCTAAGAGCAAAATTGGGACACCAAGAAAGCTGTTAAGGCAGATTTGTTCAGCAGTGGGCTAGCCTGAATTTCCAAGTTCTCCTCTTATGTCTGAAACAGTCATTTGCTCCTTTCTGCCATCATACACTGATAACTTGCCCATTTATGGCAAAACGCAAAAAAAGGATTCTCTCCTTTCAAAGAGATGGCACTTCTTAAGAGTGGAAATATTATATTCCAAAGCAGTAGCCCACTCTTCCTTAATATGGAATTATATTATAGCCATGGGCAGAACAAATCACCTTCTAGTTCTGCATATTTGGAATAAGCTTCCCTAGATAAGAACAGAGAAGATTTACCCTGTCAAACCAAATTCTTTCCAACATTAAATTACTGCACTTAAAACTTGAAAGTATACAGCACAAACTAGTTAAGGGAGATAATGTCCTTAGATTTATAAAGTGGAGACGTTAAAAGAGTAATCTTTCCATTATAAACACAAAATGATACACCCTCTTCTTAAGTGTTTTAACTAAATTATTTGGTTCCCATCAAGTTCAACCAAGACCATGTTGAACAAGCATCAAAACTGCGGAAAACATCAAACTAGGAGCCCTAGGATGGGTGCTTGACAGCAAGAGGTGAAACATGAAGGTCTAGGAGGGAAAAATAAAAAATACGGCCAGCAAATGGTATTCATCATTTAATGCATCAACCGGTGCTGTATGATTACTTGAACAGAACAACATCTCACATTTTACTATCATCAATAAACTTAAAGCCTGTAGGAAAGGAGAAAAGAGGGAGAACAGTGGAAACCTCTGTAAGGACAGAAAAAAGACTCCCAACTAAAATCTTGCACCTATCCCTACTCACAACACTTGAGTGAAGCATCAAAAAGCATACGCATTGAGTTCCAGGAAAACTCTTTTTGATCAAAGGAAATAGAAATCAACAACTCACCAATCAGGTCAAGAAGCCTGATTCTGAGTCCAATCACGTAGCATTGACTAACACTCAATCTAATTGCATACCTCAAAAGTTCATTCGGTTCAATATTTGGATTTTTTTTTTCTCAAGTAACTTGAAGGAGACTCAAATCACAAACAGATGAGATATATAAACCCTGAGTCACAGCCCCATTTCCCACTAAGACTCCCTAAATTGCTAATCGTGCAAGGGAAGTGCAAAAGAAAGACACTTCTAACTAAAAATTTCAGAACCCAATCAGGCAACGATATGTCTCCTTAAAATGCAGCTAACAGGATTCCCCCGTTGAATCCAAAAGCACTAAAAGCTCGCAAAGCAACAGCTTCCTCACGGTGCAAAATTTGACAATGCAAGAGAGATGATGAAAACATTTACCAGCTTCCTTGAGCTGCTGTGCAATCATCCGATCAAAGAAAAGCATACGCTCACCGTACTTTTCATAAACAGCATCAAAACCACCCCACCATTGTCTACCTTCTGCTTCCACATCCCTCCACTCACTAGAGCTAGTCTCACCAGCCTCCTCTTCCTCGTCCTCAGGGAACGACTCCTCTTCTTCTTCAGGAATCAACACCATAAAACTGTTTCTTCTTAGTTCTTTCAATCTCCTTTTCACCTCATTTGTTATAAATTCGTCATCATCATCCTCAACTTCAGCTGCAGCGTCAGCTTCAGATGATTTATTTAAGTCATTGTCACCAGCAGCAGCACCCTCAGTAGCAACATTCTCATTCTTCAGTTCTTCTGGATGCGGCACAGGCTTATCCTCCAAATCCTTTTCAGGGTCTGGCTTGTGGGCTTTCCTAAACTTCTTAACTTTCAAGAAATCCATCTGCTACACTTTTTCTGCTGCCAAATAAGCTTTTCTTTCCTCACTTTAGAAATTAGATTCTTTGATATATTAAATTAGACTTGTAGATCCCACAATCAAACCAAGATCTTCAGAAAGTAACTTTCAACTAGTGAACAATATTCTTATTCCAGCAAATGTACCTTCTTTTGTCTCAAAATTTTTGGCTAGACAAATGGCAGATCTCCAAGCAAAATGCCAAGAGCAGAACCAGTAAATTGAGCCCAAAATCTCCTTCGATGGCGACTGTTAAAATCCAGGCCCTTTGAACCTATTTGAAGCAAGCATATGATGCACAAGACATCCGGAAGATCTAACCTTACACAAGAAAAAAAAAATCTGACTGGAGCAGCCCAAGTTTTCAACCGGAGAGGTGCTTTCAATGCAATGGACACATAACCAGAAGCTCTAAACAGGAAAAAGTAGGATCATTTCTCCCTCAAAACCTACTAAAGCAGCACTGCAGCAGAAAGTGAACAAAATCCTTAACAGTGAGGCCATTGAAAGTACATTTCTTTCCAGAACCATTCACTTCAAAACTTGGACTAAACCCTTAAAAACTCCCAAGGATTTGTGATCCCCTTACCATTTAAGCATGCCAAAACAGATTACCAGGCAACAAACCCAAGACTCTTCTAAGATGGCTCTTTTACTAAAACCTCAGCAAGAACATGTACAGTGATCAAAACCCCTCCGAAAAAGGCAAACACTGCCTCACAAGTTTTTTTTTATTTCAGCATTTCACTACTTAAAAAAAAAGAAAGCAGATTTCTATAACCGACATTACACTTGTAGAAGAAAGTGTCGAAATGGGAAAAACCCCACAAGGTCTACCAAAACAAAAGATGCTTAAAAAAGCAACCAAATCAACTAGCGTTTTTAACTTTTTAAACTACCCAAAAGCTCATTTTCCATTAAAATAAGCAAGACCCAAAAGAAATCTGTTAACAGTTAGACAATTTTTCAAGAATGTGAATGATTCAACCAAAGGTTTCTTCAGTGCAATGTAAGGGGAAACCCTGCCTGGTTGAAAGAAATGAAAAAAAGAAACACCCTTCTTGACTGCTGAGGACAGAAGAGTGACTTTGTTGGGAATAATGAAAGGTCTAATAAATGTCAAGCATTCAAATATTAATTAATTAATTATAAAAATTAATGTTATTTTGCCCTTTTTAAGAAAAACAAAAGATTTGGGCTTATTGAAAAATTAATAGAAAAAAAAGAAAGAAAGAGAGAGATAGCACGAGAACCAATGGAAACAGTAAGCATCGTACAGAGAATATTGTCAGAAGTGAGAAGGCAAAGCACTTACTTCCTCCGTCTCTGCAAACAAAACCAAACCAAACCCCGCCAAATATGGGGTTTTTGATTTGTGCGCTTCTGTTTTTTTCACTTTTTCCCCATTTTGCCCTTCCATTTCTTTTTTTTTGAAAATCTTTTCTTCCTTCTCTGTTCCCTTTAATTTTTATTATTTTTAAATTCAATAACTCGTACTTGATTAAAAGATTTTGTGTTCGTTTAACGTGCCAGCTCGACGCGCTACGCCTACCCCTGCACAGCCCGTGGAGTCAGGGGGGTATGGCCTAACCTGACCCATCGACGACCCTCGTCTGCGGTCACGTGCCAAGCCAGGCTCATATTTGTGTGGAAATTTAAACGGGTCGGACACTAAGATTCAGGTAGGAAATTTTAAAACTAGTCCGTTAGCCCGTTGACAGCCTTATTTATCATATATAATTTGTTCATTTTAGTTCATTTAAATTTAATAATTGACCATTCAAGTAGAAATTTCAACAAGGAAATTATTAGAACAAAATGGATTTCACCGTTTTGAGGATGTTAATGGCACAAGTATCACCTCTAATTTCTATGAGTCCAAATTTTAATCAAACTCAAATGTTTTTGCCATTTAAGACAAAATGTGGAGTTGTCACTCAATTTTTATATCGAAATTGAGTATCGGTTATATAAGTTTTAAGGTTACAAGTACATTGTTACTAGAAAACTTAGATCAAAGATTTAAATACCAAGTAAAAAAAAAAAGAATTAAAGATTCTAACCTTATCTAAAATAATAGAGTTTTTACTGTTTCACTTTGGATTGACTCAATTCGAAATCAAAATCAAATAGTACATCTCGCATTTAAATAATATGTCATGCAATTATGAATAAATGGTATCTCATATTATCATGCATGCATCTAATATGATATCTGAGCCGACAATCTTGGATGACTTATTGACCATTAGAATGATGCAAAAATAATAAAATGAAATATGTTATAAAACATTAAATAGTTAGCTATACTAATAAAAATAATTTGAAAAAAAAATCCAAATATACAAATTGGACATGGCATACAAAATTATAAAAATATTCTTAGAGTTGCATGGCAGACCAGAAAGCAAAAATGTACTTAGAATTTCACAGCATATTTGATGATATAACTAAATATATATATGACATAATGAAATCATTACTAGAACTATATGACATAGCATACATGTTTCTTGAATTATATGATATGGTGTAGACATTTCCTAAACTACATGGCATAGTATAGATATTTCCTAAGTTATATGGCATGTTTTATGTCATGGCATTGCAAACTTTGATACCAACATTATTAAAATAGTCTTAAAAAAAACATTATTAAAAATAGCCCTATTATCATACAAGCTATATGATATCCTATTTATATGGCATACCATTATTATGGTGGTCCTAACCACAATATGCCTTTTTTTGTTTTTGAAAAGCCTAACCTTGCTACGATATTATGCAAATTATGCGTTTATGTGATAAATGACCATATGGACAAATTGTGTCCTAGATTTTCATGATATAGTGTGGATTTTACTAGGATAAATATGCTACTATTATGAATTTCACATCAATAAGAGATAGAATAAGTTTTGTATTAATAAATAAGGACCTTCTTTTAACTAACACATATATCTTTTAAATTGAAAATATAAGTAATATCAAAACAGACTCAAATATTCAATAATGTGAAATTCTCATGAGAGATATCAGAATCTCACATAAATAAAAAATAAAATAAAATATTTTTTTATTTTTTGGATTAGAAAAATAGATTCATAACACAACAAATTAACCCTTTATCAAAGATCATTCCACTTGTATATTTTGAATTAAAGAAACAACTCATAAACTAGTAATTCGAAGGATGAAGGGGATTTTTTGTGCCCATCCTCCACCTTCACATGTACAAATTCTCCATGCAAAACCCTTTGAGCCTATACATTTAAGCCTTCTCTTCACCAAGCTTTTAGACTAAATACATTGTGCACTATCATAGCTCATTGTAGATTCATCCTGTTTTTTTATCAGATCATCAAGTTTATTGAAAAGAAAGGATTAAATATTCTTTGTTGTCAAAGGACAAGTTGCAACATGTGCACAATACATTAGCTGGATAAATATTATTTTAAATTTATTCTTTTTGTTTTTATTAGTATTATATATAATATTGTTCAACTAAAAGTTATTTGGAAAAAAAGGTGATCTTATTAGCAGAGGTGAGCAATTAAATGATCTGATGATCGATTCGATATATCATATTTAAATTGAAAAAATCAATCAAAATTGATTAAATATAAAAAAAGATTGAATCAACCACACATAAACATAGATAAAAAAGGATCAAAATTTTATTTTATTTATGTAAATCACAACATTAAAATTGCTAAACTTTATTTATAATTATAAAATATGAAATAAAAATTAATAATAAAAATATATATTTTCTATAAATTTAAAAATAAAAACTAGAATTCCAACAAACGCCATACCTGTAGTTTCAAGATTGGGAAGGTGCAAATCAACTCTTGCTAATTCAAATATATATAATAATAAAACAGCTCTTTCAATTGTGTTAAAACAATAAAAAAATTACATGACAAAGAACGATTGGTACACCATATCGGCAACTTCTGTTAAGGTGATATATACTTTTTAAGTTTCACTTTTATCAATCACAAAAGGCCAAGGATACAAAACACTATTTAAGGGAAATGGTAGGCTACACAGATATGGATTACAACTTCAAAGCAGCAATTGCTTCAGGTTTAAAATCAACCCTTAGACTCAAAACTCTCCTAACCTCGGCAGGGGTCAATCTCCAGGTCATAGGTCCAGAGTTCTCACCCCAGAAATCCAGGATCTCCGAAACCTTTTCCAAGTTGAGGATGGTTGCCATTTGAGTAAGACGAGCAAATTTGTCTCTCACAGTCCGCTGCGTCATCCCAGAGAAATGGCTCACCAAAGCTCTTGTATCCCTGTCAAGCTGAAGGCCTCCAAGCTGACTAAACTTTTTCTGCATCATAATCACTTCCAGCCTCTTCACAATGAAGTCGATCACCAAATGAACAAATGAATCATAGTTGTTAGCAGTCATTAGGGATTGGATCCAAGCCACGTTGATTTCAACAGCATGAAGAAGCCTCTGTACCCATGGATCATTCACCTCATTATCAGCATATTCAGACTCTGATAGTTCATAGCTGATGGTTGCTGCATTGTCTAATACAGAACGGATTCGAGGTGTTACAGTTGCCACAAGTTGTTCCATACCAGCATTCAGGGCTTGCTTGAAAGTGTTGCTCAAGTCAGCCAACTCAGACAAACAAGATTTCACCTTTTCCCTCACAGCTGGTGCAGGAAACACCTGAGGAGAATGAACACTGCATATTTAACACTTGGGTAACAGGATATGTACAGAGAACAGATTACAACACATACGCAGCACCAGGAGAAGCCAAGTTGAGTGTACTAGTAGCAGCAAAAACTACTACAGAAATTTACACACTACTATGGCAGGAGCGGCCAAGAAAGCCAAGCAAATTATTAAAAGACGCTTTAGGTTTTAAACAGAAAATGACAGAAAGAAAGCAGGCATCGTAAAAAGAAAATAATATTTTTTTTTTCAAAAAAGGAACAAAGGACAATGACTTTTAGCAGAGTGCAGTTGTTACTAAAAGAATGAAATACTTACGGGAAAAGAGAGGCAAATTCTTTTATGAGAAACCCTGAATTAATCATGAGAAAGTATTACAGTAACTGGATAATCCTTATCATGTTATAGTGATTACTTTTAGTACAATAAAATGAATACAACTTCTACCTAAGCTAGAAATAAGACCAATCTGAATACCTCTATTCCCAAATTAAACATAAGGACTGCAGGACTATCAAATAGGAATGATCAATCAGTTAGATAATTGTTTATGGTAACTTGTTCAATAATTATAGATCTGAGGTTGTTTCTTTGAGGGTATTAGGTTGTCTTCTAAGAAAATTTTCTCTAGAAACTAAAAGAGGGGAAAAGGGGAAACCCGCGACATGTGAAAGCAACGGTCGAAGACCACTAATGTCATGAGGGACTGCTAAACTGTTTTATTGCAGCCGTTCATGCCACTCACAGCCTATTTGCATTGGAGAAACGTGATTTGCAAAAGGAAGGATGGAGTGAGAAATCAATTGAGAGAGAGGGGTATTTTCTGAAAAGTTGGCATGCTTTTAAAAAAAGAGAAGAGAAAGCTCCTCTCTAGAACTTTTCTTTTAGGTTTTTTTTTTTTTAATTTTGTTCTTTAAAAACCAACTACTTATTTTTTGTAAGAGCTTCTCAAAATCCTGTTTGGTCTCATTTCTGCTTTTAAGAGGTGGATAAGCTGAAATAAAGCCAAGCCAAATAGTTACTAAGAATGTAATTCAATTTCATAGAGAGATAATGAGTAAAAACAGATGCAGAAGCTGCCACTTCTGTGAAATAGGTGATGCTCCTGTTATTTAATAGCGTGGTTAAAACTATAGATAGTAACTTTGATGATTGAGATATTGAGAATTTCTTCAGCCTACCAAACTTGAGAATTGCACTCTGTAGTTGACTGAGATATTTCAAAAATCTGTGTTACAGAGTTGAGTAATAGAATTTAAATCTTAATTAGTTTTCTGCAATAGCGTTTAGAAACCTTCTATATTTCACACCACTCAATGGCAGGTACGATGCCTCAAAAGCCTGTGAGGTGTAACAATCTCTAATTGAATTCCTATATGCAACTGAGAACTTCATGGGAGGAGGATCAGCAATATAGACCACAAATGGCAATAAACTGTACCAGGCTACCAGCTTGTTTATGCAGAAATCTGTCATCTTCCACTGATTCCAGAGACTTAGGAATCCATAATTTTGTTAGGATGGCTGAGGTAGTTTTGCTCCAAGATCATTCTATAAAGAGTGTATGAATGGTCTAACCTAGGGCTTGGTTCTGATGGTTCACCCACCCCACTTCGGCGGAGAACTTCCCGCAAGGGCTGGGGCTCTAGGCCCAGCTCCTGCATATCCCCAGATGTCAGCCTAGCACTTAACATAGCAAACTCCCTACGCATTCCGTTCATTTTCTCAAAACATCAGTTCCTACAAACACAACAAAATCCCTCTATTTGCTGCTAAGTGATGTAAATCTTAATTCATTAAGGGAGGAATAATAATGATCCTCCATGAATTTTATTTTAACAGTTCTTTTCCTCTTTTTTCTGCCTGTCTGAGTCTCTAAGAACCTAGTCTCTTAATCTTAGCCTTCTTAAACTGTAATGCTTCTATGCATTATGGAGAACCATCAATGTTGCACAACTCCTAAAACTGGAAAGAAATAAGCTATTTACTTTTAAAAAAAAAAGTAAACAACAATCTAGGAAATTCCCTACCATGCAGCAGGTAATAAAAATATAAGCATTTTGATGCATGAGCAAAAAACATCAACGAAAAGCAACTAAACCACTGACCTCAGCACACTGCTCTTCAATTTCATGTTTTAGTTTCAGAACATACTCACTGCTCAGATCTATATTATTCAGGGCTGTAGCTATCTCGGTCCCAGTCTTTTGAACAGCAACACCACCCAAGAACAACCTTGCCCCAAGATTCGGTTCTCTTATTTTCTGTTGCAAAGCTTCATAGTATTCATTATTCAGCAAACTACTAGCACCACTCAGTACTGCAACCACAGAGCTAATACTTGAAGTAGAAATTGCCCTTCGCAAACAGCTTTGCAAAACATAAAACACATCATCCACCATTGAAGTAGTAAGGCTATCAGGTACATGCTCATCTATCCGTATCGCTTTCCTCACATTTTCCACCATAAAGAATCCCTCTAAAATCACATAAAACCCAGTAACATCTTGAGCAACTTTGCTAAAGCTTCCAGTCCGAAAAGCTTTTGTGGCCCGTGGGACTAAATCCGGCTCCACAGTAGTCATCCCCTTGATCTTCGAAACCATATATTCTGTGTAATCTTCACCAAGTTGCATCAACGACAATATTTCTTCTAAATACAACTCAATCTCTCTGGGATTGGGTCCTTCCGGTGCTCCAACAGCTAACAAATTATTATTCTGGGCATTGATCTCAGACGACAACTTAGCCAATTTTCTATATTCCATATATTTTTTCAAGATCAAAGAACCCCTTGAATCACATTCCTCTTGTAACTCAAAAATAGCATACACCACTCCATCTTCTCCACAGAGACTCCTTAAAATCTCATCATTTTCCTCAACAGCCAACACGATATCTTTAAACAAATTAGTCAAACACCCAACAAAATTGACCTGATTATTCTGATTCTGTCCATGACCTTGTTCCATCAACTCAACCAAATGCTCATACTCTGACCTAGATCTCATCCCAATCACTTTCTTCAAATACCCAACATAAACTTGCAACCCTTCTTCCTCAAGCCCCAACGGCGAATAAAGCTTTATAAATCTGACAATTGTAGGATGATCCCTCTGATCCACTGCTGCCATTAATTTTTTCTTTACGATCCCTTCCAGTTGCTTCTTTGACGCTAACAACTGTTCCCTTTGGTCCGATCCGGAATCCTTAAACTTATTATCAATCTCCAAAAATGTCCTCACACACTCGGTGGCTGACTCGTAATCTTCAGCGTCGAGAGCGCTTTTCACGCCGTCGATGCAATTTCCTCTCTCTACAATGGCGTCAATGCGGAGGAGCGTGGAGTTGACGCGTGACTGAGCGAGGTCGAGCTCGCGGACCTTGCTGCTGACTTGGTCGGCGAGGTCGCAGGAGGAGGTTATGTTGGAGAGCATGTGGTCGGATTCGGCCTTGACAATGTCGAGAACGTCGGCGGATCTTTGGAGGTTGTTGAGGTTCTTGTCGAGGTCAGAGCGTTGGGAGAGGAGGGTGTCGAGGTCGACATCGAGGGCCCGTTGGTAAGCGATGCACTCGTGGAGGAGACGCGTCATGGCTCCGACGTCGGTAAGGGAGCGGACATGGTCGAGCGCCTCGGGAGTCCCGAATTTGATGGACGATGTGAAGGTGTCATCGTGCTGCTCCGTTGATTCCGGGGTTTTGGGGACGGAGCCGTTCGGGGTCGACGGCATTTCCTTCTTTAAAAAAGAATAATTGCAAGCAAACAGAGATTCAGATTCAGATTCAGATTTAAGGTTTTAGCGGTTTTAAAGATTTTTCACGGCGAGCGAGAGCAACTCGAAGAGAGGCAGACTTATGCAGCACTCACCTCCTGCCAAAATTAAAATGAAAATAATTTTGTTTTAATATTTTTATATATTATTTATTCTCTCATTCTATTCTATTAATATTTAATATAACAATTTTATGTTTTATATTTAGTTTTCACTTGGCCTAACTTATTAAAAAAAATTTCAAAAAATTACTAAATTAGATTTTTCTATACTCACATTTTACCTTTCGATAACACAAAAAGCTATAAGAACAATTACATTTTTTTTCAAAGTCATCTTTTTATTTGGTTTAATTTTTTTCTTTTTTTTTCCTTTCTTTAGATTGCTGGCTATGGAGGATGGGGTGAATTTTTTTTCTATTTATTTAATTTATTTTATTACTTTTACTTAGTATAAAATTATTTTATTGATACCTTTCATAATAATAGTTATAATTTTATTTAGTAAAATTGAATCTTTATTTTTTTGTCTTTTATTTATTAAAAAAATTAAAATATTATCAAATAGTTTTTTACTTCTTACAAAATTTATGTACTAAAATTTACAAAGACTATTTTAAATTTTTAGCTCTACTTAACAACATTTAAGTTAGGGATAAGAAATCAGAAGAGAAGATGAAACAAAGTAGGTCACTTAATTTAATTGAGCAAATCTCTTGTGATAGATGGCCCAACTTCCCTTAGAAAGAGTAAGCAACGAGAAACTCCAAGTCCGAGCTAAGGACCAAATGGAAATTAGGTGAAATGATATAGGAAGTCATCTGAATCAGCTTAGAAATTTGCTTTTAAGTTGTTTACCCAATGTAGAGGTTCTTCTAATAAAGAGAAAGGAATTGTTGCAATAAGCATAAACTAAGATGCATTAGAGGTGGTAGAAAAGAAGATTGGAATAGTCATTAAGTGTTAAGTACTTTGTGCTATGAGATAAGGGGTACAAGTTAGGTAAAAGGTAGAGAAAGTGTGATGGTGGAGCTCGAGAATATGATTAAATGTGATGGTGGAGCTCGAGAATATGATAGCGAAAAAGTGAGAATGAGAGTATTTGGGAAGTGTAGACACTATCTATTCTATCTTTATCTTTATTTTTATTTTTATTTATTTATTCTGTTTATTTTATTTTATAGGCTTTTTGGGTTATTTTACTCTGTTGGTGTCATGGTTCATAACCCAATGAGAACTTGGGTTTGGACCTTTGGTTGAGGTCTAAAAAACAGATCTGATGAACATTAAAATTACAAATTCAGATCAAACTAAACAAATACATTTAGATTTAATAAATTGGGATTAAGACTAGATAAGCTTCAGAACATTCTAGATTCAAAAGAACAAAAAATTCAAAAAATAATAATAAAATTGAAAAAACACAAAATAATGAAAACGGTTCAGCAGGGTGCATTTTGCATCGTGCTTAGAACCAACCACCCTAGCATATGCTGAGCATAAGTGGCACCCTGGAAGAAAATAAAAGGGGCAAATTCGAGAAAAAGAAGGAAAAGAAGCAAAAAAATATATAGGAAAAAATAACAAGGACAAAGGGGAGATTTAGGGGGAAGAGGAGCTGTAGTAAAAAAAAAAACCCTAAAAGAAAAAAATTCTAGCTCTCTAGCAATCATCTACCTTAGCCATAAGAGAAAAACAAAAGAGAAAAAAATCAATAAAAATGGAGAATTTCTAACCTTCAACAATAGATAAATCCTTTTAGATAGTATTTTGTTGTTGTATTATGTGGCATGTTTCTCCTCCGATCTATTGGGAATCCATCTACATTGATTGTAGTTCTTGTCTGAAAGCATTTTAGATAGTATTTTGAACAAAATCCTTTAACCATGCATGAAGAATTTGACCATGCAGGATCACATGGTCTATGGATCATAAATTTTTCTACAACTAGGTAGACAACAACGTCTGCAAGTTTGTCAGGCAACTCGATTGATATAATTTTGTCAACATTTTCAGATAATGAGCTTTTATGATCATGATGAAGCCAAAGGAGGATATGCACATGTGGGAACTCTCGTTTTTGGAATTCAATGGTATAAATAACTGGATTATGAAAAGTTAATAATTATTAATTAGTATACAAACATTTAAAGTTGTGCAAGCAGTGTTAAATGTTTGACTGATATAAAATTTTAAATAAAAGTTGAATAGAGTTATCTTACTAGTTATGGCAAGACCAAAATGTTTGTTCTTCATCAAATCATCAATTAAATAAAGGAGTTTCAGCTTGAAAACTTTTGATCTTATATCAAGTCTATCTTTTGGTTTTTTATTTAGAATTAAGCTTAATGTAGCTTGAATTTCTTTCCATTTAGCATTTCATGTGAATGTGATAAAAAGATCAAGACAACTATAATATTTACAGATAGCCATGGAATCCTAGTAATCTTGCAATAAATATCTAGTACCATTAGTAAAACTTGAAGGTAGTATTACATGTTTACCTATAGTGTTTGCATTATTATCTCCTATACAATTTAGATTTTAAATTTTTCTGATTATTTCTTTTGTATAGCAATCTTTCTTCTTCTATAATTGCATATGCATCAACTATAAATTGTTTGAATAGCCTACCACCTTTCAACAGTGTATTTCTAAAAGTTGATCGTTGTTTAACTGGTTGTTTCCTTACTATTGAATGCACATAACTTATATCAATTATACAACCATCTTCGCCATAAGGGAAAAAAAGAAGATATTGCATAGCCATAAAATAAAGGTGTAATTCGCTTATTCATTTAAAGCCTTCAACAATATGATCAACTATTATGTCTCAATAGTGATCATATTCTCCTAAATCACTTATTATAAAAGCAACAGTTTCAGAAGCTGTGGGTGGTTTATAGTTTAGCTGTGAATCATTTCGAGATGCTATAAATCTAAGTTGAAGGGAGGCAAAATTCGTGGTTGTTAATTTATCCCTAACCATTCTAAAGACTTTCACAATTTGATTATTACCATCAAGTATTTTCGTGAAACCTTTGACAATAGATAAATCGACGGTATTGTTGTTGTTATCATTTTGAAAAATTTCTAACCTATATGAGATTTCATTTTCAGGATCATAAAAGTATAGTTAAGCAAACTTAGGTTTCTTGCCAAGTATGTGTAATAGAGAACCTATCTTATGATGAATTTGACCATTGATTTTAAAGATGTAAAAACCTGGTCTATTGTTTATTGACTTGTAGACTTGACCTCCTAATGAAGTCAATTGAAACATACTATTATACATTATGTTAACCTTAAATTTAAGTCCTTTTGAATTTGCATTATCATTAAGCAAATTATCTAAAAAGAAGGTGTTTCCCTAGAAACAAGTATTTGTACTATGCCTTCTTAGTAATAAAGACTAAAAGTTAGAATTTATTTTCATTTGAAATATTAGTCCTTTCTTCATACCACATGTAAGCCAAGCAAAAAGGACATATATAATTAGATCTTCTGAAGTAAATAGCGGTGTAACAATTTCCTATTATATGCATCATGAACAAAATTGAAGATTTGTCAATACTCATATTCGTAAAAACATATTAGAATGATTTATTACATAGTCTTAGTCATTTCTTTAAACTTATGAAATTGTATATTGTTGTTTCTGTTAGGCGGTAAGTGAGTTTGGCCCATATAGTCATCAAATTGCTAAGCAAGATCTTTGATGTGATCTTCATAAATTAGTGCACAGGACATCTTAATCGAATATTAGGTACATTATAATTGTTGATTTAATTAACAATCAAGTAAATGAATGATAACACATTATTTGTAATTTAAAAGAAGAAAAGTTTACCAATAATATTGGCATTAAAAGGAATTGTTAAACCAATTGGGGAAAATAAAAAATCAGTAGGTTGATAAGTTAAAGAGAAATTGTTAGTAATCAACCCAACATTACGTGGAAGATAATTATTGGAACTGATTGCAAAATTGATTTGTCTTGGATTGGAAACAATGTTTGGTGAACCCAGATCGAAGCCAATTCTAATAAGTTCAGCTAAAGTTATTTCAAACTCACCCTCAACATTTGTAGTTGAGTGAACTATCACATGCTTGCCAATTGGCACATTAATAGCATTGAATGTGTGATTAAATTGTTGGGAATGAGAAGATGATTGAGAATTTTTAGTTGTCACAATACTTATTTCATTTGGTTGAGGTAAACAATGACTACCTTGCCCAGTAGATGGAATGTTATGGTCAAATATAAATCTATAAGAGTTAAAATCTTTTTTGAGTTTTGAAATTTTTTTAGCTCTCAATATTTTTAACTTATTATCTATATTTTGCTTGACTTGATTCACTTTTTCTATCACTACAAATCAACCTTAAATTGAATTGTCAAACGAAAATACATAAAATAATGTAGGAAAGAACTATAGATAACCAATTAAGTAAACATGTATTTTCACCAAATAGAAAATTGTAACAAAAATTATAATAACTTGCAATAAGTAAAGCAAGCAATTAAAAAGAAAATTAATAAATGAATTGAACGGAGGAGAGAATAATATGTTATAAGTAAAAAGGAAAGTAAACGAAAGTACTTTACAATATGTGCTGCTAATCTATACTGACGTTGGATACTAAATGAACAAACTGACTAGAACACAATAAACAAAAACCAAATCACATTAAGATGAAGATAGGAGCATTTGAGTTTAAGCAACCTTTTTAAAAAAATTGTGAGAAGTGTGAAATTTTAGTCAAATAATATTTTCATATTACATCAAAGGCTAGTAGTGTTGTATAAAATACATAAAAGTAGATATACAGATATTAAATGTCAATTAGTTAGATTGGTTCAATTAAAGTATTACATACGAATTGACATGGAATTCTTAACATGTAATTTCTTTGATTCAATGCTAATTGGTTTAATTACGACCAATAATTACTAAAGTTCAGTAAACAAACTTAAAGAGATTAAATATAGAAACAAAAATTTTATGCCTTTCTAATGAGAACCTTTTTAAAGGTTCAATTACAAAATATATCATGAGAATAAATAAATAATATATAATAAGCACTAAACAAAA